TTAACCAATCGTCGATATAATTGAGTATGCGGATGCCCTGGAGTCGCAGTGGAGCCAGAGCAGCATCCACACACTTCGTGAAAGTGCGGGGTGAGAGTGACAGGCCGAAGGGAAGAACTCGATATTGGTATGCTTCGCCCCCGAAATCAAACCTCAGGAAGTTCTAATGTTGAGGGAGGATGGAAACATGGAAATAAGCGTCTTTGAGATCTATCGTAACAAACCAGTCCTCGGACTGGATCTGAGATACTATCTGCTTGATAGTGAGCATCTTGAACCGAAGCCGTTTGATAGCGCTGTTCAGAAGACGGAGATCTAAGATGCAAGCCCCCATCCTTCTTCGGAATGATGAAGTATGGCTGTAGAACCCGGACGCTCTCTCAAGAGGCGGAACACGTTCTATGGCCCTCTTCCTCAAGAGAGTATCTACTTCTTGTTCCATTACCAGAGCCTGCTCGGAGCCCACTAGTGTGGGGATGACCCTGTTGAAACGAGGCGGACGAGAACCGAACTGGATTCTGTAACCTTTCTCTACAATCTGCAGGACCCATTTTGAGATATTTGGTAGAAGTTTCCACGCTACCAGAAAATCTACAAAAGGAACCAGCCTCTCGAGGTTGGCCTCTGGTGTTATTAGAGGAGCCAGTTCGGTGCCCTGAAGCAGATGACCGGCAGGGAACAACCGACCTGACTGCTGTAGCACCCTCACTCGAGGGGGCAAGCTCTCCCGTGCCGTACAGTCGCCGGGCGGCAGCTCCCGCTGAGCAGCCCCATGGGCCTGGGGGCGACGAGGGAGGAATCGTTGAAACGCCGCAGCTTGCTTTTTCGCCTCCTGAAACCTCTCGACGACAGTGTTAACTGCGTTGCCGAAAAGGCCAGAGGGCGAAAGCGGGGCGTCTAGGAGGAAGAATCTGTCCTTATCTTGCATATCGGACAGATTCAACCACAGATGCCGCTCCGTGGCCACCATTGCTGTCATTGAACGGCCGATAGCTCTGGCCGTTTCTTTGGTGGCTCAGAGGGACAAATCTGTGGCCCGATGCAGTTCAGCTACCACGTCAGATTCCCCCTCCTGCCTGTCATCCAGGTCCTTGAGCAGGTCAGCCTGATACGCTTGTAACACCGCCATGGTGTGCAAGCACGCGCCAGCCTGACCTGCCACCGTATAAGCTTTCCCAACCAGACTAGATGTTAGCTTAACAGGCCTGGTAGGAAGCTTCGGGGCCTTCAGGGACGATGCTGAGGATGGGGAGAGATAGCTTGCGAGTGTCTGCTCCACCACTGGCATCGCCCCATATCCCTTCTCATTCAGCCCCACGATACTGGAGTAATTAGACACTGTGGGGCTATAGATACGGGAAGAATAAGGTTTTTCCCACGATCTTGACACCTCGGCATGGAGATCGGGACAAAAACGGAAGGCCAAGCGAGAGCGGAGCGTACGCAGAGAGAGCAGCTCGCAGTCATGACAATCAGCCCCCTCAAGAGCTGACCGTGCATGCTCCACTCCCAAACAAACGACACACAAATCGTGTGCATCCCCCGGGGGCGACGAGGGAGGAATCGTTGAAACGCCGCAGCTTGCTTTTTCGCCTCCTGAAACCTCTCGACGACAGTGTTAACTGCGTTGCCGAAAAGGCCAGAGGGCGAAAGCGGGGCGTCTAGGAGGAAGAATCTGTCCTTATCTTGCATATCGGACAGATTCAACCACAGATGCCGCTCCGTGGCCACCATTGCTGTCATTGAACGGCCGATAGCTCTGGCCGTTTCTTTGGTGGCTCAGAGGGACAAATCTGTGGCCCGATGCAGTTCAGCTACCACGTCAGATTCCCCCTCCTGCCTGTCATCCAGGTCCTTGAGCAGGTCAGCCTGATACGCTTGTAACACCGCCATGGTGTGCAAGCACGCGCCAGCCTGACCTGCCACCGTATAAGCTTTCCCAACCAGACTAGATGTTAGCTTAACAGGCCTGGTAGGAAGCTTCGGGGCCTTCAGGGACGATGCTGAGGATGGGGAGAGATAGCTTGCGAGTGTCTGCTCCACCACTGGCATCGCCCCATATCCCTTCTCATTCAGCCCCACGATACTGGAGTAATTAGACACTGTGGGGCTATAGATACGGGAAGAATAAGGTTTTTCCCACGATCTTGACACCTCGGCATGGAGATCGGGACAAAAACGGAAGGCCAAGCGAGAGCGGAGCGTACGCAGAGAGAGCAGCTCGCAGTCATGACAATCAGCCCCCTCAAGAGCTGACCGTGCATGCTCCACTCCCAAACAAACGACACACAAATCGTGTGCATCCCCCGCCGCCAGATATCATGGGCAGGGAGGAACACAGCGTTTGTAATGCCGTTTGTAATGTCGTTTGCTTGCCATAGACTTTTTCATGATTTTTTATATATATGCTTGTGCGGACGGACAACAGTAAATAGACAGACACATACACAGAGTGCTACTGAAGAGCAGAAGCTGGTTTGCGCTCTGCCGAATGCGCTTTTATACTTTCTGGTGCTTACGTCACCCCGCTCGTGACGTCTCACTACTCCATTGGACTGATTTGACACGTGCTTCAGAACGCAGTCACGCAGGCACGTTCCCAAAGCGATTTTGACTCAGCTCGAGTTCCTGAAGGGGAACTTTAATTATGGTTCATTTCTAATTTCTAAATTAGAAGAAGACATTATGTCATAGATAAATATAGTAGTTAAATTGTCCACAAAAAAACTTTGTGGATAAATAATATACATATTAAATTATTGCAGTGTTTGTCTTGTTGCAAAGCAAGTTGTTTTCTCTGCTGTAATGGAGGAACAGAAAACTACATTTATACACATAGTCCTGTTGGCTGGATGGAAATGGATTTTAATCTTCAGAGTGCACATCATGCTGTGGGTGGCTGGGCGGTTGACATTTCAGTATAGGGGCCAAGTTGTGTGGCTGAGGTGATGAAGACTACATTACTGGAGCACGGACCCTCTCACTGAGGTTCAATTAATCATGGCCCATAGCCACTTGAGCAAAGCAAACACATTGTCGGGTGCGCACCGCCTTATGGTATGCCAGATGTGGGGAGATTAACTAAGGCACCATATTAATGTAGGAAAGATGCATTTGCACACACAATAATACTCCCATACTTCACAGTTAAAAACAGAGCCGCCCTGATTTGAATATAAAACATGCCGATGTTGCCATGTCTGCAGTGTAGGCATAAAAATGT